TATTATTGTTTTGAGGTTAGTAATGGTTTGTGATTCAGATAGGCGTCTGCATGCACGACCCCCACCTCTTTGCAGGAGGCCTTAACATGGAGCAATGCTCAGGGCATGGAGAAAAGAATCGTCTGATTGTCTCGAGGCTCTGGGTCAGAATCAGCTGAAGGCTCTCCAGAGCTGGAATCGGGCTGTGGATTGCCGCAACAAGAAGGGCCTGTGTTGATCAGCTGGGGAAGGTGCTGCACCCTGATCTTTGACTGGTTATTCTTTATGGGATCAGGGAATCTTTCTTTTTCCCTTCTTTGTTAGCCCAGATTGACCTTATTGCCTGGATGGTTTTTCTCTAGGGAGGCTTTTTCTAGCTTCCTCCTGAATGAGGCTTGTGTATTTTAGCCACATTTGGCTTTTGCTCTGTGCTTCTCTTTCATCACAATGCTGGCAGAATTTGTTGTTGATGTGGCCGATGCCACCAATAAAGTGGGAATGGAAAGATGCTTACTCATACAGGTGAAGAAGACTTTGCAAATTTCCTGGTGATCCTGTAACATCATACAGTCACTAAGTTTTATTACAGAGAGTTTATGAGTATTAGTCCTTTTAACAGGAATTTATAGGAGTTTTGGAGTAATCCTAAGTACCCAACCAGACATTACTTCATATCTAGTTGCTGTTACATTCTTTTTTATGCTAGAACAGGTGTATGGGCCCAGTCCAAAACTTGAAACTGCTCAATATGGTATTTATTACCATATGCTGCTGTTCCCTTAGTTTAATTTGAATCATGGTTGTTGTGTGGTTTTCTTGTGTTTTGCTGTTGTTATTTTATAGTTGTATGCATTTATGCTAGAGCTAATATTGCTTTATTGTGCGTCTTGTTGTTTGATATTTCTGTAAACTGCCCAGAGTGTCATCCTGGCTAATGGATGAGGTAGAAATTTAATAAACAAATTAAAAATGGGCTGGTAATGATGAAACGGTTGCTACTAACATTTAAAATCATATCTGTTTTGGCCCTCAAATTGGTGCTGGGCAGGAGAGTGCTGAAAGATTTACCATTTCATCCACAGCTTTGCCAGCTTGCACTGTCTGGGGCAGAATGGGAGGGGCGCCCCTCCCACACACACACAGCAGAGCAGGGCTTTAAGCGTCTTCCTTCCTGTTTTTCTCATAGCTGGCACAGAGGAAGAGGCTGTAACTCACCTGTAGAGCACACCAGTTCAGGCTTTCGCCCCATTGCAACAGGTACTGTTGGTACCTCACCCACCAGTATAACTTTTCTCTGCAGGTGGAAGGTAGCCAGCGGCCGCCTCTTCCACATCCTGACCCCTTCAGCCATCATGAATGGGGGCAAGGGGAGGTTGGATTCCCTTTTTAATTAACTGGCTCAAGCATTACGACTTTAAAAACGTGCAGACCTTTTGGAAACAGGCAGACAAGGAGCATGAGTCCCTGCTGTCCCTTCATGGTTATGTGCCCACTCCTGCGACGCACATCACCCTGTTTGATTCCAAGGCTAAATTACTTCATAGGGAAGATTTCGGTTGGTGTTTTTGTTCCATGTGTTTGCATAACCTTTGTTTTTTCTAACAGTACTAAAAGTTTGAGATAGCTTGAAAGGTAAATTTATTTTTGGTAGTTGCATGCAGCCTATTTGAATCCAAGGACATTTTTATATCATGGTTGTCACTACTAATCCCAGTCTATAAAATCAGATCCTCATAACTTGAGGTGTCTGTGCTCCTGAAGCTGCACAAACAAGAGCGAGCGAGCAGATGAAAGGGCGAGACTCCGATGGAGCCTTGTAGGGCATCTGCTTTGCATGCAGAAGGGCTGAGTTCTTGGCAGCTCCAAGTGGGGCTGGAAGCGCTTGCAAGGCACTGCGGGGTGGAATAGTTAGTGCCGAATTAAATGGGCCGGCAGTCTTACTTGGCATGTGGCTGTAGGGCAGTGTTGAAATGAAATGGCTTTTTCTCACTTGGAAATTTAGTAGGTGCGAAGATTATTTGACAGTGACAGTGCATATTCATCACTCAGTAACTGTGTTGCCAGTGGAGCATTTAGAGGCGCAGAGCATCTCTCACATACCAGACACGCATATCGCCTTGCCTTGCCTGGAATCTAATGCTTCTCAGTGGTGGAGCTTGTCTGTTCAGCTGCATGTCATCAAATGGAGCAATGCTGAATGGGACACGTTTATGCAAGGAGCATACATACCTCAGGGAGCAACCCTGTGGCCATAGGAGAGTTCACATTTCCTACTGCTCTGAGTGGGGAATTGGAGAACCCATCCACTGCTCCACAGCTGGTTCAGGGAGAACTGTGCCAGTGGCCCTCAGAGGTCATGACCAATGAGCAGGGTAGCACAGAGGGTTTAAGGAGGCAGGAGACTAAAGAGGGTAGGAGAGAAGCTCTCCTGGGGTTTTTCCAGCCTCCTTCCCTCCCTCTCCAAAATGCCCAGGCCAGGCAAGCAAAAAGGTCACTCCAGAGAGAAAAACAGGGTGAGGGTGTGTTGCTCCTTCTGCTCTGCATCTGGGGAGTATAAGTTTCAGACATAGGGCCATCAAAGGTGCTATCCATATGACTGCACCCCGAGCTTTATATTTTACTCCACCCTATGCCCGGTTTTAATTTCAAAATGCACATACAATTCATTGGAAACAAAAAATGCAAATGTAAAAGCCCTGTCTAGTACATTTTGAAATGTTTTAACTTATTTGAAGATTCAGCTTGCTACACATGGTAAGCCCTCAGGAGTTTGCAGAATTGTGAGCATTGCTTGCTTAGGCATGATAATCTTGCCTTTTCCCAGATTTTATTCCGCGATGAACACTGCCTCCTCAGCCATATTAAACAGGAATATGTCTAAAGCTGTGATTAATTCTGCTCAATTAGTGTGCAGTGAATGACTCAACACCTCTCTTTGCGTGCCTTTTTTGTTAGGCATTAACAAAATTTTGTTATGCTTCTCTAGAGAACATCTTATTGTCCAATACTTTTGCTTCTTTTGCTAATGCATTCCATTTAGTCCTCCAAATTGCAACATATATGCTAGCTGAGGAGAAACATCAGTGGTTCTCCAGTGACAGGGTTTTGATTGCTAAAAATATATACTAATCATTACATCTATTTTCTTTGTTGTATATCTTAAAATATGTGCTGTGAAACTGGTTTAAATAGCTTGATGGATAAATGCTCTGATATTATATCTCTGATAAATAAGATGTATTTGACACATTTTTCCAATCTTATGAAAACATTAGTTGACAGTTTACCATCCTTACTTAAATTCTGTGAAAAGCAGACTTTAACTGGGTTTGCATGACAAGGCAACTGATCATGGGTTGTTCCCCACAATAGATTGTCACATTATACAAATGCAGACTGATTACCCAAGGGTGGCTTGTTCATTGCAGGTATGCTGGTACCCATGATGGGCTATGTAATCTGAACCTGGATGACTGACCCCATTGTGGGCACTGAGCTACTTGGCAGAGTGCCAGAAGCACCTTTCTGCCCTTGCCAAGTAGCTCTTGGGTGAGTGTCAGTGCCAGGTGCCCTCAAAATGCCTAAAGCAGCAGGTGGGGCAGCTGGCCCTGCAGTTGTGGATTATTTGGTGCCCAATGTGCCTCCCCCCACCGCCTTTGCCTTGCAGAGATCATGGAAGCTAGCTTGGCATTGGCTTTCACCATTAAAGCACAGTAATTGTTTTTTAAACTTTTATTTATTTATTAAAACATTTTTATGCCGCCCCATTCGCCGAAGCCTCGGGGCAGCTTACAACAATTAATTAAATAATGATAATTAAAAATATAAACATGCTTGTGCAGTTGTGAACCCCAGGTAGTCCACATTTTGCACAATGAGTGAACAAGTAATATTACTAAAATGTTTGCCAATCACTGGCAGTCCTTTCGAGGTGATGCTTGGGCACTTTGAAGAAGGTATCAGTGGCAGCCAAAATATGGGTTATAAAAGCCGGCCGTCAAACTGCAGTTTATGTTCTTCCCTCCACCCATAAAAAAGAGGTGGAGGCTAAGGAGCAAAGATTCCTAGCAAGCCAAAATTGATTCATGATCTCAGCAAGGCAAGGGATAGAAAACTTTGTCCTCCCACAGACTCAGTGGGACGCTGACAGGAAGATCAAGGGGGCAGGAGAGGAAGGTCCAACAACTCACAGTAACTCAGTTGTCTGTCAGGTGGACCATGGCCTGTTCACACAAAAACCAACCCACTGTAGGTTGTCATGGTGGTTTGCTGTAGCATGCACACACGGCCAATTTGAAAGGCAGGGATAAATGTTTAAATATTGCTTTATTCTTTAGAGAATGATAAATGGTCTATGTTATATCCAGTAGTTTCCATAGGTGGAATGAATGCTCTTCCATTTCTGCAGTTATCAAAATTTGCGTCCAGAGCAGTTTTTGCAGGCAAAGTAAAGGAGAAAGAGTGAAAGTCTGAGTTGTGTAACGGTGAATTGTTGTTATTATTTCAAGTTGTACAGTGGGAAGTTTGCACTGGATGTTAAAATATCAGACTGGTAAAACTCAACAGGATCACTTTCAGTTCTATCTTACCACAGCCCTGTAAATTCTGATGTTAGAATCCTAAATACAGTAAGTAAAGGTTTGGAAAGCTCTGTTTGGACAAATTGAAATTGTAGCATAGTAAAGAAAAGCCAATTGTTTGTGTGTGTAGATCAAATGATAAGCGGAAGAAAAATAATTTTGATGCTCAGAAAAGCTTTTTCTTGAGCTCCTTCTGAAACAACCCTTGTATTATTTGAGCATTAGTCCTGTTGCACTGGTAGCCTTTGTTTGAGAAGTTCAGGAATTGCACAGCTTCCAAGACTCAAGGGCTGCACAGTCCCCTGGAGCTTAAAAAACAAGACAACACCACCACCATCATGCAGCTTTCAAGAGCTTTTGTACATTGCTAGGACCTAGGTCTGTTCTGTCGTTTGTATTTTCACTTAATATCTTGTTTTGACTTTTTTTGGACTGTTTCAGACGGAAATCCAAGCCCAAAGCTCCCCTTCCTCCATCTGAGAGAAAGATCTCTGATTCGTCTTTTGATGATTCGGAACTAACCCTGTTCAGTATGGAACAAAAAGAGAATATGATTGACAGAGACATTGAACTGTCCGTGGTTCTTCCAGGGGATGTGATCAAGTCTACTACTGTTAATGGCAGGTATGTGGAAGAAAGAATTCGTGTGTTTTGCAGTTGGTGTTTCAGTGCTATACAAGGCATAGATTTCCAAAGAGAAATGTTATCTTTATTTATTTATATGCCAACATCTGTCCTGCTTTTCTAATGCATATGCATTCCTCAGGGTGGCTTAGGAGACCATGGAGACAGGAAGAGACGATTAAAACTTCAGATAAAAACATTAAATCGAGCCCAGTACTGCTGCTGTCTTGCCACTCATTCTGTGGTGCTAGTAGGATCCTCTGTTCATGTTGCAGAAAGCTAGCAGTCTGAAAAGCTACCCTGGAAATGAATGGAGATTTCATTCAGTGGAACTCATTTCCACTCCAGTGCAACTAACTCCACTGACCTCCATTATTCTCGCATTGGTCCATGGACAGAAATGTATGCAGCCTGTTACTTGTTGGACAGGCCAAAATCTTGCATGAATAAAGTAGTATTTAATAGTCAGCAGAGATGGTTAAAAATTAAGACCACCCAGAGTTCAAAGTGCATGGCATTCTACAGTTTGGATAAGGCCACTCAAAGGCTGTGGATGTGCCAGATGAGCCTGAGGATGGGTGTGTCGGTGGGCTGGATGGAAGCTGACAAAATGAAACTCCATTTGGACAAGAGTGGGAATCTGTTAGCAGATGGTTCTGTTGATTGCATGGAGAGGTTCAACCTGTTCTAGATGAGGTTGCACTTTCTCTGAAGGAGCAAATTAGAAGCTTGGCACTCAGAAGACTTCAGTGGTATAGAGGGCCTTCTGCCAGCTTTGGTTGCTTCAGTTGCTGGCTCAGCTGTGCCCTTATTTGGACAGGGAAAACTTGGATTCAGATGTCGGCACTCTAGTACTCTTCATGCTAGATTACATGGGGTTGTCCTTGAAGACTGAACAGAAGCTGCAGCATGTGCAAAATGTGGCAGTCATATTTATATCAGGAGACAGAAGGTCTGGGCGTGTTTGCTTTCTGTAGGTCACTGAGCCTGATTTGACCAAAAAACTTTGCACAACCCACAGCAGAGAGCCTGTACCTGGCCACCATATCCAAACACCCCAAGCCTTCCTCGGAATGTCTCTTCTGAGAGAGGCTCAGACGGGAAACAAGGAAGAGGGCCTTCTTATGGAACAGTTTCCTCCTGGAGGCCTGCCTGGCACCAGCACTGCCCCTTCCACACCAGCTTAAGACTTGACTCCTAAGCTTTTGGCAACACGTGACAGGGTAATGATGTCAGTTGTTCTGTTTTCAGATGCACCAGCATCTTTCTTACAAATTGCTTTGTTACATTAAAAGTTTTATATGAAATTTTTATTTTCTTGTGTTTGTAGCTTGTAATTTCTGAGAAATATTATGGCTCCTGAGTGGTACAGAAATGAAGATGATGATGATGATAGTAATAATAATGATTGTCACTGCAACCATGATTATACAACAGACAGAATACAGAGAAAGGCCTCTCCACCAGACCTTAAGCAGGGGCAGGCTGGTGCAGGAGGATGTGACTAGGGCTCATATACCTGTGCTTCATTCATGCATGGCTTTTTCTCATCTTGAGCTATTCGTGCGCTCGCTCGCGCTCTCTCTCTCTCTCTCTCTCTCTCTCTCTCTCTCTCTCTCTCTCTCAGTGTGTGTGAGAGAGAGAGAGCGAGCGAGTGAGCAAGAGTTTTAATAAATATGCATTTTAGTGAAAACAAATAGTTTCCTCAGTCACAGAGCAGTGAGAGCTGTGCAGCAAGTCCCCAAGGACCCCAAAGCCTCCTCAGACTCTTCTAAAACATGGTCCAGTTTGAACAATCGAAGCCCCCTCAAAAGGAAAACCTTGACACACACAGTTCTGGCAAGTCTTGTCAGTTTACCTACTCAGGACCCCAGAAAGCATGATTGACACATAGCTTGTTTGCAGGTGGAAGGCTGCTTTCAATAAAGTTTACAGGGAATGCTGCAGTAGGCAATGGAATAGGATTTGAGCACAGGACTGAGGACTTTTATGTTTTCTGACTACAGTTTTAGACTATCTTTGATTGATCTTCGCTTGAAATTAAAGTTGGATGAGTCAGTGGAAATAAAAACATGTAAATTGAAATCTGCCTTTTGCGGGGTAGGACATTTTGTGTGTGTTTGCTACTTTATTTTTAAAAGAAATTTTTGAACACTAATCAGGTCAGGAACCTCATGGGTCCTAACATAAAACAGAGTTTGTGTGCTAGTCATTTATGTTCCATGTGGCGAGACTTAGGCTTAGATGAAATGATGCATGGTTTGCTGTAGTTAAAGTACTACTTTGCTTCTACTAGATGGACTTTAAAGCCACCAGGAAGCCACATGTATATTTTGCTAGTCTTCAGTTGTGTCTGGGTTCTCCCAGTAATTCAGTCACCAAGAATTAGGTTGTGTCCTGAGTAAGAGGTAATTTTAAGTGTTTGTTTGTTTGGTGTTTTTTTTTAAAGCCTGCCCCATAAGCCACATGGCATCAAGTGGTACTTAACTACTTGCTGGGTTATCACTGCTTTCTAATTCTTACTGAAGCTGTTTTAGCAGGCAAATCATTTATTTTTTTAAAATGTGCTTTGCTCTTCTGTGTACTCATATTCAAAAGCAAGATGTTCTAGTAAATGATTGGTGTTTGAGTAAAATATTTCTGAAAGACCAGTTTTGCTATTTACTTGTAGCTAGCATGAAAGCAGCCTTGCTGTGCAAGGCCAAATGAGCCACAAATCCCTAAATTTCAATAATGAAGTGTTGAAATCTATCAGCTACCATATGGCTATCAGACACAGCAGCTATCTGCCCCCCCCCCACCCCCATGGGTAGGTTTGGGGAAGAAGGATGTAATGTACTTTTTAAAGCAATCGCTGTTTGGTACTCTTTTTCAGTTAAATAATTTGTTGAGTCTCACATTCAACAAGGCCCTTTTTATAATGCAGGAGAAGTTGTATAAGCTGTTCCAATTAGGAGGTGGAAAAATATTTCATCATAATCTCTGTTATTCATTATCAGAGTTGACCCAGTGGCAGCTTTAAAGCTGCTGAGGAAAGCTTCTGTGCTGAATGTTACTGAAGAGCAGATTAAACTGAGTAGGGATTTGCAGGGGGTGGGAGGGGGTTTAGCATTCACGGCAGGGTTTGCCTTGTGCAGGTGTTTGGATACCTCTGTACAACAGCGTTTGCTGTCAGCACTGCAGCTGGTTTTCACATATGCTTGCTCTCTGGAGCAAATTATCACCTCGATGAAACAAATATCAAAATGGATTAAAAGGAGAAATCTGTAGATTTTTTTTTCTTTGTGGGAGAAAGAATGCTTTCTTAATAAAAGAGCTTTGATCTGCTCTGCCCTCTTATGGATGTTGTTAGGAATCATGTCTGAGAAGGGCTGCAGCTCTGTGTGTGGAGTCTCTGGCTAACATACAGACGTCCGCAGGTTCAGTTCCGTGCATTTCCAGATAGGGCCGGAAGCCCCTCTCTCTACCTGAAGTCCTGGAGAACTGCTGTCCATGTTGTCATTATTGAAATGACTTCCACTTAACTGTTAGTTAAGCCACTGTGGGACCAGATACTTTTGTATGAAAGAAGAAGACTTAAAGCAGCATATAAGCTCAGTAAAGCTTGCACCGCAGCACTGCTTCATGGACTGTTGTTGTTGTTGTTGTTGTTGTTGTTGTTGTTGTTGTTATTATTATTAACAGTTCTGTTCATTGAGTCCAAGTTGAAGAATGTATGAAGTCTCCTGTATAGGAAAAAAATTATTTTGTACTCAATCCACCTACTGCATAACCCTGCCGAACGATGGTGGCAAAATTATGCATTAGTTTTGCAAATAGCTTTCAATGATTTTAACAGAGAGAAGACTCAGATGCAAACCTGTAAATGAATGTGGTAAAGAAATACAGGGAAGAGATGATGAAAGGCATTTATCGTGATATTGTGCGCAATACATTCGTATAATTAGTGCCCATTAAATTCAAGGAACCAGTTTCATATGGTAGAACCCTTTTGATGAAATTTTGACTGTGAAGAATATTTTATTATTTTATTGGCTGTGAAGAATACTTTATTTTATTATATTGTGAGTTTTTTCTTATAACTGTTATTACAGATATGGACAATGATTTTAAAATTACCGTGTTCTACATGTCATTCTTCACAGTCACTAGAAAGTCCAAAAATAGGCAGGTATGATGGGAGGCATGTGAAAGGTTTTTGAGTCCCAAAGAAATATATTTGGGCACCATCCTAGAACTTCCAGCAAGCATGGCTGACTGGACTCTCCTGGGAGTTGGAGGAAATTCTTGCAGGATTGTGCCCTTCGCCTCTTATGTGCCTGATCTCCATGGATTATACTTTAAGTGCTGCTTGTCTTCAAGCATGTAGAATAATAACCAAGTAATGGGGCTTTACAGGTTTTGCTTTGTGACCATGTGGAAATTGCATTGTAGATGCTTTCTCTTTTTTCTTCCAGCAAACCAATGATGGACTTATTGGTATACCTTTGTGCACAGTATCGTTTAAATCCTTCAAGCCATACTATAGACCTGATATCAGCAGAGAAGAAACAGATCAAATTCAAGCCAAATACACCCATTGGGATGCTTCCGGTTGATGAAGTTATTTTAAAGCCAAAACAAATGGATAAGAAGAAGCCCACCCCAGTCATCCCAGAGGTAAAAGCTTTACCCTGACTTTTTCTCTCTCTACTTCCTGTTTATTTAGACTTTTAACAGGTGGTATCTTAAGACTTCTTGAGGTAGTATAGTTTAGAGTTTATTCATAAAAATCGATTTGCAAACTTGTTAGAAATTAAAGACAATATCTCATGCTGCCAGTCAGCCAGTTCCAATCAAATTGCTAGCAGGAACAGCCACCAGTGCAATTGGAAGGTGGTGCTTTGATGGCAGAGGTTGAGGTGGCTGGATGGGATCACTGGGCCGGTGGGTGTGGGGTTGGGTGGACTTCAGGGGATGGTGGAGGGCAGGAGAGCCTGGAGGAATGTTGTCTATGGGGTTGTGATGGGTTGGACATGACTTTGCAACTAAATAGAACAGAACAGCACAACCCTGGAAACGGTTGTTCTGGGGGCGGGGGGGGGGGGGAGTTAGTGAGCTCCCTTCCACAGGTTCCATGGACTTGCCCCATCCGCTATGCATGAATTTGAGCTAGTTGTTGGGCACGTGTTGTGAGAGCTTCAAATGAGGAAGCCAGTATGATAACCAAGCAGTGGTGCTTTTAATAGACAGAAAAACAGGCTTTGCTTACTGATCATGCGGAAATAATATAGCGAAATTCTCTTTCATTCCTGTCATCACACCTATATTGGCCAATCTTCCTATTGTACTAGTAGTTGTTCCCACTTGCACAAGTGTTGGATATGCTGTAAAATGACACATATTCATCATAGGTCCTGCCTTGGGTGGTGCTCCCAGGATTCAGAGACAGATGACTGCATTAGGCATATGCAGACACAATTGCTTTCTTGCTTCTTGGTTGACAAGAAAAGGACAGCTTTTTTTGTTCCTTGGGCTCCTACTTGCTCCGAACTTCTCTTGGGAATTATGCTGGCTGGTATTGCCTTGAGTGAAAGCAAAATGCCCTTCCTTTCTTACTCGACTTTGTCTTTCCCTCTCTCTGAGCTGTTTGAAGAAGCCATAAAAGGGGAACAAAGGTTGACAGCTGAAGGCAGGGCAGCACTGTTCATTTTAGTCCGTAGTTGGTATAGAATGTTCTGGAATGCAGGGGACTTGTGTTCACAGCCCATAGATTGAGGTTCCCAATCTGTAAAACTCTTCCCTCCCTGCCCCCTTCAAAATCTCTTTTTTAATTAAAAATACTTGAAGAAAGTTGGGGCACCAAGTTCTTCCTGTTCTTAAACCTGCTGTTCATCAGCTGCTCTGTAAGCAAGAAGAGAAAGAACCCAATCCTTTTCCATCCTTGCAGAACTTCCTTGCTAACTCTCTGTTCCCAGCCTCTAGCCTTGCTATTTCTTTCCACTCAACCACTTCCCTCACTGTTTCTCTCCTTTCCTCATCTCTAACCCTGCCTTTTCTCTCCTGGCCACCTTTCTATCTTGCTGCTATTCTCCACTCCCACCTTCTAGCCTAGCTACTTTTCTCTTCCCACCTCATGGATAACATCACCCTTTCTCTCCCCTCTGTCCCTTTGCCTTACTACTTCCCCCTCTTAAACCCTGGTATTTCTCTCTGCCCACATTGTTTGAATAGGCAGGACGCCACGGTAGTCATCAGGCGACTAGCAAGGGGCCCAAGGGGTGACTAGCAAGGGGCCCCTCCAGGGGGCCCTCTCGGAGTGTGTGGCTAGTGGCTAGGGGTCAGTAGCGCTTCCAATGTGCGCACGGATTGAAAAAGGATGGGGGACTCCTTTGGAGTTAGCAGAGAGGTCTTAGACGAGTTGTGGGAGTTCTTAGTAGCAGTGAAGACTGTGTAGCACAGTGCATAGTAGATGGAGCCTTTTTTTCTTTTTCCAATCAAACTAAAGGCTGTAAAGCCTTTGTTAGCTAAAGGGTGGCTTTCCTTTTGTTTCAGCAAACGGTGAGAGTAGTAGTAAACTATAAGAAGACCCAGAAGACTATTGTCAGAGTTAGTCCTCATGTACCTCTTCAAGAGCTCTTGGAAACCATTTGTAGCAAATGCGATTTTGATCCTTTACACACTGTGTTGCTGAAAGCTTACCAGTCTCGGGAGACTCTTGATTTGACAAAATCCCTCAACGAACTCGGACTCAGAGAACTCTACGCAATGGATGTCAGCAGAGGTGAGACTGATACACTCATCCTTCACAAAAGTGGCTGCTTGAGGGATCAGGGTCCAGATATTTGGAAATGTATTCTTCGCCTAACTGTATTTATTGCCCCTTAATTCCTGTTATTAACTATTGTTATTGAAAATAAAGAACCATAATACATCATTGGTTTCTTTTAAAAAGAGTGCTAATAGTGCAACAAGTATAGAAAACCAATTTTTAATCCATACTGCTTTCATAATTTCATTTCACATAACTGTATAGCCTTATCTTTTGACTCCACATTTGTTGGCTCTGGAATCAGTACATCTGGTGAAGTGGTCCATTGCCCCTTAATTCCAGATTCCATTTATTGACTTGATTTTAATTACTTAAGGCATGTGTGGGCAGTGTGTTTCTCCAAATGTTTCTGGGCTCCTCCCCTCATTAGCCAGAGCCAACATGATAAATGGTGAGGGTTGGTGGAGCTTGATGGTACAACCTCAACTGGAGGAACACAAGTTGCCTGCCCTTGTCCTGCAGCATAAATTTAGATCTAATGCCATATTCTAAAATATACTGAATCTGAAAATTAAAAGTTTACTATCTGTTGCTCTCCATTAATTGTATTGTGCAGTTGAAAAGGAAATAACAACCCCCTTTAAAAATAACATTTTACTGTGACCAGCAAAAGGAAATTTGTGGAATATCGACAGTTATCATGCTTACTCTTTTTTTTTAAGATTTGTAGTTAACCAGCACTGCATACGGAGCAGTGTATATGACAGCTAAGCTTCTATATCACTATTTTTAGCTGAATTTTATTTGTTTTTAACATGATACATTTATTAGGGCTTCAGCAGGAAAATCCAGCCTACGGCGTACCATTTTGGCCATCCTTGTTTAAATTACAATGTGTTCTTTCTTTTTGCATGAAATCTGATAGAAGGGATCATTTCACACTCTTCTGCATCTTGAGAACTTGTCCGCATAGTCTTCAACTTCTCTGCTGAAACTCTGATAAAGAACGTATTCAGAGCTCATGCTCAGTTGTAATTAAATTTCCATTTCTCTCTCCCTCTCTCCCTGTTCTCTCTGTCTCTCTCCCTAGCCACCACACCAACTGGAGAATTCAGCTTGTCATCTTTACAAGGTGAGTTGCAATGATCTCAGAGAATCTGTACACGCAGCAGATGGTGTAGCGTTGTCGGGCACACGTATTGTCACTCAGTGATACCAAAGAAAACAAGAATTTTCTAATAGGAATGGCAGTTTACTTAGCCAAGCCTATCATTAGAAGAGTAGATAACACAGATTTGTATATAATACATGAGTGTCCCTAAGTTGGAGTTTTGATTTACATAACCCTTTGCTGGTAGCCACATGACTGCTGCCGTGCATCATTTTTTTCCTTAAGAACTGTATCCAGATGTGTTCCTTCTGCTATCATAACAATGCAGAAATGGAGGATGTGAGACTTGGCTATTTCCCCCTTGCTTCTGCAACCCCCGTGCCTTCCCACAGTTTGTTGCAGAAGGTTGGGGGAGCCATTTAGAAAGGGGAAGTGTGGAAATACCCTTTCTCTGGTTCTAGTTGCAGAAGCCTCTGTAGGGTCAAAGAGCTTTCTACCAGTGAAGGGATACAACCCAAAGGGGGATCCCCTGATCACTTTATACAAGTTTATATATTACTTGAGTGCTTCTTGAAACCCATGGTTTATGGGGGGACTATTCTTCTAACAAGATAGTAAGAATAAGGATAGTAGACTGAGTGGCCTGGTTTAGATGTACCCCTAACCCATGGTAATCCGTGGTCTGTTGCTTTATCCAGGGTTTGTCTAAAAAATGCAGTTCCTTTTCTCAGTTTCTGGGTTATTTCCCTTCTTTTTCACTGCATTCAAATAACTCAGTAGCATTCGTGTAGAGCTTCTGGTTCTCTTTTTTTTCTTTTTTTAAAACTGCTCTTGTTTGCCACCTCTGAAACCTGGTTAAAACCACCTCTGATTCTGGGTTCACTTGTAACCATAGGGAAAAAACATCCCAGCCTGAGGAAAAAACATTGCTTCTCCTTCTGGGATGGTTGTGGTTAGCAGTCCATACTGCAATTCATGTTAGATGCGAGCCAGACCAGCATTATCTTCACCAGTAGTCTCTGAAACCTCAGCATGATTATGATTACTAAGCTGGTTAAGCTTAAGTGGACTCCAGGGGATGGTGGAGGACAGGAAAGCCTGGAGGAATGTGGTCCATGGGCGCAACTTTGCAACTAGCAACAACAACTAGATAAGATGATGTATCAAAAATGTAATGGGTTTTTGGAAAAGTTTAAAAACCTACCTATATTTTGACTAGGAAGGATTTTCCCCTCAGTTACCTTACTTATAGTGCAATCCTGTGCATGTCTAGTCAGAAGTATGTTAAGTTTCACTGCATTCAGTGCTAATCTGGTAATAGCATTACAGCATTATTGTATCATTCTTTACATTTATGAATTGCCTCTCTGCTCAAAGGGACTCAAATGGACTTACTGTCTTAGAAACAATACAATACCATTTCAAAGTAAATGGTATACTAATCTAGTAATCTGTTTTTAAAATAGTTTTGTTTCTGTGGGAATTATGAGTTTCTTTTGCATTGTTTGTCCTTTTAGCTTGGGAAAAGATAGATTACATCTTGTGTTGGCATTTTTAAAAATATATTTTAAAAATTATAAAAAGATACTAATAGTATTTTTGGTATTGTAAGTCTAGAACATGCATCACACTGAATGGAGTGTGCAGTTCACACATCACAACTACCCAGTGTTGTCACTGGTTGTTTAGCATGATGTCTCAACTTGGAAATTTGGGTTGTTGTCAGAGAAACCCACAGTTATAACCCAGGGTTTGTTTTGGGGTGGCTTTACCCGCAAGAAGCTCCAATTTCAGATTATCCAAGGAGAGAAAATCCCTTGGCTGTTTAGCAGAAATCAGCACTCTCACTCATTAATACTTGATTATGACTACCCAGGGTTTAAATAACCCATGGGTAGCTCTGACATGCAGACTCAGTCATTGTTCACCTTGCAGAATGAACAACACAATTGCTGCCATTCTTGAAGGAAAAATATTTAAAGGGAGAACATGATACTATTACCAAGCAAGTTCATATAGAATTGAGTATGCTACTATATATCAAATAATGTTATGTAATACAGATCCATGGCAGAAAAAGTGCAATTATGGTACCAAGGCATATATTTTATTTTCAGACTCTTGTCAAAACTCACAAAATTCTGACATTTTGAAGGAGAAAGAAAATAAAGGCTTCTTTGGCTTTTTTCAGCGAAACAAGAAGAAACGGGAACAAGTAAGAAGACCATAATATTTGTAATTAACATTGTGTAGAAGCAAAAAAGCAGTGTTGGCAGATGTCTGGGCAGTTGTTAGGGGAGTCACACTGGGCAGTGTGGTGTAGTGGTTAGGAGTGTGGGGCCAGGATCCAGGAGCTCTGGGTTCTAGGCCCTGCTCAGCCATGGAGCTCATTGACTGAGTTTGGACCAGTCACAGACTCTCTGCCCAACCTACCTCACAGGGTGGTTGTGAGGATGAGAGGGGAAGGAGAATTCTGTAAGCCATCCTGAGTTCCTTGAAAGGAAAAAAGGTGGACTATATAAATATAATGAATAAAATAAAAATGCTGATGTCAACTGGACCGGCCAGAGATTGGAGTGTTGACTGTGTATCTACTTTTTACTGACTGACTGTGGTAGCCTATTGCAAAAAAAATTAAAAAGAGCCTTGTAGCACTGCATTCTGGCGTAAGCTTTCATGGACTGTGGTCCACTTCATCGAATGATCCTCATGGGCTTTGTGCTTCCAGGAGATATTTTATTACATGATTACAACATAGTCCTATGCATGCCTGCTAGGAAATGAGTGAAGGTTGCAGTGTAAGGATGCTGCCGTCCCAGAGATCCCGCTTGTTCTTTGACCTGCTAGCTATTATCCTTAGATCTTTATTATATTCAGAGGCTTGGCAGTTTCCCTCCCATGCTCCTTGGCTTGCAAAGGCCAGTCATTGTCCTATCACATTTCGTGAATTCTGGCATGGGAACTACTAGTGCATAAGGAGATGTCCCACAGCTGCCTGAAGTGACTGAATAAAAGAACCTGCATTTTCAGGACTAGCTAATAAACACGCAGGGACTGTGCAACTTTAGGGCCCATGCAAATAGTCCCTGCATTTGGTTTATTGTGATGACCTCATCTTCATATTGAGAAGCATCATCTTTGCTGAAATATGAATGAGGCTGTAAAACAATGGTTGAGCATCCCTTGTTTAAAGTAGAGTGTTGGCTAATATATATTTCCATTATTTTTCAATTGATTTCTCCCCTCCTTGTAAGACTGCCAGTGCTCCTGCAACTCCATTGCTGAGTAAGCCGCGGCCAGCCTTCGTTATGAGATCCAACGTGATACCGAAGCAGTATGACTCAAATACCCTGCCATCCGAGATGCCAAAGAAACGACGAGCTCCTTTGCCCCCCATGCCTACTTCTCAAAGCGTGCCCCAAGATCTCGCACAAACCCAGGACAAACCTGCAGGTTGCGTGGTGAAGTCTAGCAGTGTGGATGAATCTGACAAGGTTGGTTGTTATTGTCTCCTCCTTTCTCTGACTCCAAGCATTATGGATTGTAGAGACATGGTGCCGCAAGAACATTGGCTGATTGTCCCTTCTGGACATTTTGCAATTCTGCACAATCGTGGACCTAGTTTCTATTCCGCCTGGCCTTGGTGTTGCATCAAACCAGCTCCTTATGGTCATTCCCTGGTGCCTCAAACCAGTTTCTTATTTTACATGTAAACACACCAGCTGTTAGCATACAGGTGTCCAAAGATAATATGGGTGCTTCCTGAGTCACTATCTACTTTTCTGTTGACTGCCATGGCATTGAAAACTCCCCCATGATCTGGATGGCCTACCCAAGTGCACTATGGTCATGTGAAGCAGGGGATCTGTTTGCTCTTGCTGCAGTGCTGATGGCGAACTCAGCAATGCATCCTTGAAAAGAGTTCGGTTGAAATAGGTGGGCTTCCGAGTAATTATCCTGACAGTGCAGTCCTATGCATGTTTGCTGGAAAGAAGTAAGTCTCATGAAGTTCAGTGAGACATCGTTCTGCTTAAGTATGTATGCTCGTATAAGATGGCAGCTTTAGGGAAAGGTATATGATGCACGTAAATCCCCAGCACTACCACTTATTTGTTAGCTAGCCAATAATTATCAAAGATACTACTTTAACTACTTCCTTTGGAAGTTGAAATGCAATTTTTCAGTGAAAATGAGAGATTGTCAAAAAAAATTAAATACTGAACTTTTTTGTAAGATAATCTGATACAAGCACAGAAACAGCACTTTTAAGTGCAGTCATTCCTTTTTTCTCTTAAAAATGCTACTTTTAAAACATGTAGTAAATTGGAATCCACTGATAGTCTTTCTATTTGCATTAAATATGGGGAAATTATGGTTGGCAGTAACATGTTCAGTAACTGGGGAAGGATCTGACATTTAGTGTCATTTCAAAATTGCCTTTCTTAGCCTTTTATTTAAAAAAAATGCAGTTAAACATATTTCTGAGAAAAGGTTTCCTAAACAGTTCAAATCCTTGCATTATTAGAAACAAGCTAAAACCTTGAAAATATCAAATTTTACTTACTGGAAGAACATGGATGTTTAAGACTAATGTTTTTATCTTAATAGTATTTCCTGCTTCTGTAATAATGCATTTTAATGAAGTTGCGAAGCGGACTGCCAGGTCAAACCTATCTATATAAATTCCAATATGTGCTGAACTTATTCCATCACAGTTTGGGGGGAAATTAATGCAGTGGGTAATATCTTGCTAAAGCACAGATTGTCAGTTATGAATTCCAATTAAAGTTCAAAGCTAAATGTGTCAGTGCAAATTGGAGCACTGCATACTTGTGTTTCAGACATCACTTTGAATCTGGAATGAAAGGCATCTTTTTCTAATACGCTTGGCTATATGAGCATGCTAGAAGGATGAAGTGCAAAACTGAATGGTGAAAACGCAGGCCCAAGAGATGAAATGGATGCAGGGCCCTTCAGTTAATATTATTTTTACTCACATCAAGTATAACACAGTAATTTCTTTTTCATGAATTTATAACCACCAGAGTGCGCTGTTTAATAGAGGTTTGGATTATGTAGTTTGAGAAGATTGTCTCATTCTTAGAAAAAAATATTGGACAACTCAAAATAGAAACATATGTAACAAGATATTTTCTTCTTTTTATTTCTCTGAGCATTGTGCAAAAATTTTCAGCCTGGGGGCCTAAGTCAGAAACCAGAAATCAGTGCACCTAAACTGTTGAAATTATCAATTTTAAGATGCATTGGATCTATATTGAATTATGGTGTTGGTGTTATGGGAGATTAAAATCAATTGAATGGAATGGCTTAAATCGAAGCTTCACTTGCACAAGTGGAAAGATACTTCTGCTCATACAAGGAAGCCTTCCTTTTAAAAATAATAATGATTTTGCCTTTGCGTGCTACCTTCCATGCTGTTCCGGAGTCCACACCCAACCCTCAGCAGAAGATTTGGGTGCGTGCAACAGGCTGCACTGGAAAGGGGGAAGCTTAGAAACCCATGAGTAGTTACTCTTACGGAAGTTGGGATCCAATCCAGTATTTATTTATTTTTTTGCTTCTTTATAAGGTTTTCTCCAATGTCTGATTGTACTGGCAGATTGTTTATTGTGTTGTGATTTTGAAAGTGTTTCACTATTATTTTCTGTTCTCTGGTTTGCAGTCAATCAGACTTTCTCTGGAAGTATACAAACAGAAGTTGTGGGAGCCAGACTGATGATGGAATCGCTATAGATTTCAGCTGTCAGAGGCATGTCAAGAATGGGAGGAGGCTAGGCTTTCTTTGAGTGCAGGAAAAATAATCCATTTTTTAAAGGCAATTGTGAGGCATTGTTAGGGGTTATCCATCCTTCCAAGGCCCCATGATTTGGCTTTCTGAGGTTTCCTAGCTGACCACAGCCTCCTACCTTGTCCACACACTGTTTCCCCTGACTAAGAAACATGTTCTCTTCCTCTCTCTGTTTAATACATAATGCTTTCTGACATCACAAAGGAATACTTGATACATTATATTTGTATCCATGTTTGGCTGGAAAGCAAATATGGCAGCCCACTGACAGAAAAAAAACAGAAGGTGCAGATGTTAATGGGAAGCAGTATTGTGCGGTAAGCATAACAATACGCAGGATCCCCTCGGCTTCACCATCACACCACTGACATCCGTTCACTTGGAAATGAGGAGGACCGCCTCTCGCCAGCTGCACTGTCAGGCAACTGTTCTCAAGTAGTTTGCTCCCTTCAGTAGAGCCCAAAAGTGGCCACAGGAGGGGAACGAGGGGGTGGTCCTTTTTGATGCCCTCTCTCTCTCTCTCACTCTCTCTCTCTCTCTCTCTCTCTCTCTCCCTCCCTCCCTCCCTCCCTCCCTCCTTCTGCAGCTATTGACAAACCCAAAGCACTAAGCCCGTCCCATCGGACTACGGCTTTCTCGTCGCCACCTGCAAGTCTGTAGCCGCCACGGCCTCCTTGCCACTCGGCGCCACAGTGGAATTTTCATGCATCCGTTTGTTCTGTACATGACCTACCCAGTAACTACTGCTCCCTGTGCAGATTACAACCAGTCACAAGATTAAATGCCATGGAACAGTTAAAATCTAAAACACAATACAAATGAGTAAGAGTGAAATGCAGTGCAGTGCCCAGCAATAGGCAGCACAGAAGTGGAGAAAGCGGCCATCCAAATCTAGACCCAGGTCTCTAAAATGCCTAAGAGGAAAAGAAAAGGCCTTTGTCCGGTGCCAAACGATCACAGTGTAGGTTATTAATGGGAGTTCATTCCATAAGCAGGTGCTGCTGCTGAGAAGGCCCTCTCTTGTAGCCACCTGCCCTGCTGCTTTTTTGGGGGCAACCTGAAAGAGAGCCTCTGAAGATGACCCAAGTGTCTGAGGAGGTCTGAATAGGAGAAGATGTGCCTTTAGATGCTCTGCTCACAAGCCATTTGGACCTTTAAGTCAAAGGCTTAGAAACAGATGGGAAGCCAGTGCACTGGCATCATGTGCTCATCACAGCCAATCAGAACTGAAAGAAAACACTGAATTTCTGCGTAACACTGTTGGCTGTAGTGGGCAAGGCAAGATTGAGACATTGCATGATTCTGATCATTGGGACTGGTATAGGAGGGACTCCAAGCTACATTGAGGTGGGGAACCTCAGGCCTCGGGAGCCTAATCTGACCATCCTTGAGCTACTTAGATGGCCACACCTTCATTTCCCCAACTGCCCATCATTTAGTGCTTTTCCAGGTTTTGTGCAGTTTTTCCTAGTTCTGAAAAGTCAAAGTGTTTATGCTAGTTTTGGTTACTGGCAGTAGGAACTTAAAGCTAAAATAGCAGTTGTTTAAGGCCCACCCTTTTTTTTCCTCACTCACACTAGAATTTAGCTCCAAGAACTTGTCCAAAATTGAATTTGGCCCTTGGACTGAAAGAGGTTTATACTTGACATGGAATATGTGGTCTTTAAACATCCTAACATTTTGATACAAAAACTTTATTAGGGTTGAGAAATCTGCAAGTATCTTCCTTTTTAAAAGAAAAGCTAAGCCAAATCAGACCAAAACTCTGCCTTGTCCGACATTCTATTACTACAGTCTTGGATTTTAGAGTTCAGTTGCCTTAAAATGTTTTGACAGTGCATTCTTTCTTTGCAGTTTCCTCATAATCTCTTGATAAAGCAGTAGCCCCTAAAAGTGAGCTAAAACTTGCTTGCTGCATTGCTTTTATTATAGATTAAACTGGACCATCCTTGTCTCTACTGAATGATTTACTCAGTTTTGATAAAGTTAGGCATTTATCTATGCCCAAGTGGTAATATCAGACAATAGCAGGAAAAACCAGCTAAAAAGCAAACACTGTCTCCACTGTTTCCTTTACTGTAGTCTGGTTTCTCATAGTTTTAAAGACTCCACTTATCTCCTCCTATTTTTCCCATTTTATGTGACTGAGCATTGGCAGGAAAGAAAAGGTAAAATGGCTTTGTGACATTGAAGGTGGCTGACCTTTTGACTGTTCTAAATTTCAGAGCCACATAGGCATTCTAGTATGTTGTTCTAGGTAACACAGAGGCCTAGTTCTCACAGACAGCCGATGGGGAGGTAACCCTGTTTACACTGTACCATTTCATAATGAAGGTTAGAAGGACGTATAGAATGTGCTGCATCTCTCTCCATTTTCCTTTTTCCTTCCTCTCTTTTTCATTCACCAGATATCCTCTCCCTGCACTGTATACTTATAGGGTGCTAGATGTCAAAGAGAAGGGCTCTGCCCTAGCTTTCTTACTGACATAGTACTTTTCCATAGGTAGGAATAGCTTTACAACCTCGCCTTCTAGATCTCAGATATTATACAAGGAACTTGTTGTACAGCCCAAGAAACTAGCAGCTGTTTCCCCATATATAGCATTGGTTGTCCCTCATGCAGCTTTAACATTTAATGTTGTTGGAAGGAAGGCAAGGTACGGAAAAGATAAAAAACAGGAGTCCACAGTTTGGAATAGACGCCTGCTGTTTCTTGTCTGATCAAAAATGTCAGTAGAGATGGAACTTCTGGGTCTGTGGTCTATGTGCTGTCAGTTTACTTGATTGGGAAAATAGACTAGCGTGTCTCTGTGCTACGAACAAGCATATAAGGTCTGCAAAGAACATTTTCAGGCATCGCTTGCAACATTTATGTAGTTGCATGCTTGTCGAAGTTGACGTGCTCATGGGCCTTTTGTGAGGACCAGATGCATTAATATGGTGCCTGCTGCACCTGCTTCATCTTCTCTTTGGGATGCCTGGTTCATTCATTCGTTTTAGAGGAGACTGGGAGCAGCAGTGAGTCCTGCAATGTGCTGTGCCAGGTACTGACACATGGCCTTGGAACTGTGCTTTCCTTCAAAGCAGAAAGTGTAGGAAGGGAGGCACTACAGTTCGCACAGGGGTGGAGAACCTCTGGCTTGCAGGGCCAATACAATGGTCAGTCGAGCCTGCAGGGCCTCAGCCAAGGTTTCTCCCCTAAGCCTTTGTGGCCAAGTTCGGATACAACTCAAAAGCAGGAGGTGGAGAAGGGAAAATGTGATTGGTGAGCAAAGGGATTCCCTTAGCATGCCTCTTGCTTTACCTGCCTGGCATCCTTCCCAGTGGGGGTAGGTACATGGCAAGCAAGACTGGGCCTGACGAAAGCAGTGGTGGAGGAACTCCAGCTGGTGCTTCAGCAGGACCTGAAGAAGTCCAGTGTGAGTGGCCCTGCTCTGGTATCAGGTTGCTGGTCATGCCCAGCCATCTGTATGTGTTGCTTTGCCTACTGATTCCATCAGGCCAATGGAGCGGTGGCTAGGTGGATGTCCTCATCCCCCTCTAGATTTCAGCCCCCCATTCCTGGTTTAGTGTTGCATCTCAACTGGGCTTCCAGCTCAGGAACAAGCAGTTTTTTTTCTTACGCAGCTATTGTTGCTGTGAAATGGTTTTCATTTTCTTCACATTGTGCATATAATTATTTGCTTTTGTCCATCACTAATAACATTGTTGCTGCTGTGTCCTTGAATAGCCTTATTTTTTTTTATTCCCACCCTACCCTCTTTGCAGGGACTTTCAGGAATAGGAATAGTGAGAACAGGCTCTCTTCAACTCAGTGGTACTTCATCAGTTAATTCTTCTTTGAAGCGAGCAAAGCGCAAAGCACCAACGCCGCCTCCCAGAAAAGCCCAGGGCCAGAGTGACAACAGCATCGGGACAGGTAGTCTTCCTAAAAGGATGGGGTTGTGGGGATCCATTTCAAAATTTTACCCCTTGCTCTTGAGGCAATAATATCCCTTTAACAAATAATGCTTTCTAAGTAAAATTTTAATTACAAAATTTAGTATAATCTTAATTAAAGATTTATTAAAGAATGTGTCCAGAAAAAGTAGTTTGCAGAGAAAGGTGCCTCATAAAGAAAATGAAAATGGACAATTTTGTGGCCTTTGGAAAAATGTATTTGGCATTTGTTTTGAGGGGAGGACTGCTTTACTGTTGACTGTGCTTTTTCTTGTTTAAGTATGTTGTTTGAATTTGGAATCAAAAGGAATCATTTCCTAAAATCAATCTACATTTCAGGATCTGAATCGGCAGAATCAGTTCATACTGAAGGCACTGTTAAAGGAAATTGCTCAGAAGCGCTGTCTTCACCAGGTACATTTATTGTTTTAAATAGTGGCAGATTCAACTGTATATCCCACAAATTATTGCATCCGATTTTGTAGATGAAACTTAAGTCTTTCTGCACCTGTCATTCTATCCCTGCCTTCCAAAGAGGCTTTTTTAAAATATTGAGCATTTTAAAGCTGTCATGTTACAAAACTAAGTTTTTAAAGCTGTAAAGTTTCCATTTAGCACACATTTAGGAACATAGTAACCATTCCTTGAAGTGTCTTCAGATTCTGACTCTCTCTCTCTCAGAATAAAAATTAAAATGCACCTGGGGGGGAGGGTTGAAGAATTTGTACTATATCTTTTTACCTGCCCCTTCAGCTGCTATTTGCTTCAAACAGCAGGATTAAGGTAAAATAGCAGTTTGGGGTGTATATAGTGGAAAAAAATAGTGGGAAATGGCTTTCAAAAAAAAGTTAATTTTTCTTTTGCTGCACCATGGATCAGTCTCTGTCAGTTTGCTGTCCTGTCAGCAAGACTAAAATTATGATAGAAACACCCTAACCATGTCTCTTTAAGTTAGAACTTTTCTACAAGATGCATTTATTATGGTTGCTTACAGGTTTTGTTTGTTTGTTTTTTTATGAAGTTGCAGTCAATCAGCTTTGCTTCTGGTTTTGTTTTGTTTTTTTAAAGCATTTTTCTGGGACTGGGAAAAATTGAGTATTGTTTCTGAAAGCAAAAAACAAATGGTTTTTTACTTGTGTAATTGCAATAATTTTGCCGTAGCACAGTGCCACCTAGAGTTCCATGCAGTGAAAAAGAAGGAAAAGAAAAGCTCTTTGTATAAAAGCTCAGATTGCAATTCTGTGAGGAAACCAAAACTACAGCTTGGAAAACTTAAACTTGGCAAAGCACTGAGTCAGTTAAAACTGCTATATAACAAATCATGACAAGTTGCAGACAAACCTTTAACCCTTTCCCTATAGTTCAGCTGAGTCATAGTACTTTCCACTGTGGATGTGCTTACCATGGATTCTGTGCTTTTGCTTCCTACATCATTCTCTCATTCATTCATATATATATTCTCCACTTTGCCTGCATGTGATTGTCTGCCTATCCGTCACCCCTTATTTGTGTTTTCTCCTTCCCCTTCCATTTCTTGTAATATCCTTCTAAAACAGCCACACATGTTTAAAATCTCATGTTAGCTGCTGCTTGGATGATGCCTGTAGGAAAGAAGGGAGTTTTAAAGTATTGCTTAAGTTTCCATTGTAGTCTCAGTGGAAGGGCCTCCACCATTGAGTGATATAGAAAAGAAATAGATGGTGATGATGGCAATGGATGATGATAGACTCAAGTGTTGAGAGTCACTTGTTACAGAGATGGATGACAAGGAATAGAAAAGTATTTAAATGTTTTTAAAAAGTGGCTGGGTAAGAGGGTGGCTGATGATGGCTAGAGCAAAAACAGCCTGTTGAGGTTTCCTTTCTTCACAGACATTAATGGGAGCGATGCGGAACTGCTTTGCGTGTAGCTCCCCCTACAGGCACAGCTTGTCTCTGCAGTCAGCCAGTTGGGTTTTCATTTAAAGCTGTCCCTGCACCCTGCAGTGAGAAAGAAGGGTGAACATTTTCTCTCCCCTTTCCAATCTAGCACATCCTGATTTAAAGGTGCTTGGGGGAATTGTGGATAGTAAGATCTTTTGTTGTTTTCAAATTAAAATATAATTTTGGCTCTAGTTTACAAGTCCATCACCTGAGTAATCGTAGGCTGCAATCTTGTTTTTTGGGAATTTAACTCTGTGGGTCTTATTTCAGAGTAGACATGTATGGAATTGCATTTCATTGATTAATCACAACATTTTAATTGATAAGACAGTTGTTTGCTTATGCGCAAAACAATAGCTTTGAAGGAAGACAAACACATTCTTCCTTTGTATTTTTGGATGTTGCATCTTTCAGCAGGCAGAGTTTTCTGTTCTGTATCAGAGCAAAACAGGCAGCTGTCTTATGACAGTGCTTGCCAGCTGTGATTTTTATAAGCACTTGCATTAAAAGTAATTTTAACCTGGTAAATTGGGGACATGTTTCCAAAAGGTTTAAGTTGCTTGACTAAATGCTACAGCCCTACTAACAAGTTGCAACGTGAACGCAGTCTCCTTTGCCATCACTAACTTGCTTAGGGCAGTCTTCCCAAACCTGATGCTACTTAAGATGTATTGGATTGCAGTTCCTACCACTCTCAGCCAGCAGCGATATGCTGGCTGGGAATGCTGGGAGTTGGACTCACAACATGTCTGGAGGGCACCACCCCTGAGAAGACTGGGTTATGCTAGGCCATTGCTGCTTTTTACATCTTACCTTTCTTTGTTTTAATGATGAGATTAATTCAAGCCAATTCACTGTATTGTTTCCTAACCTGCTTCTTAGGCCATGTAGTTGATCTAACCAGGACCACAGTGCCATCAGGTGCCTCTTGCTCCTTCGAATCAACCAGTCATGACCAAAGCAATATTCAGCAAGTCTCAGAGGAAGGTAGCCTTTTGGGTAACTCTGATACTCCAGATGAGTCTGAAGTGTCTCATAAATGTAGGTCATGCTTTGTCTTTACAATTAATGTACTTGGATAATAACTTACAGCATCAGTTTCTCTGAAGGAAATGAAAGATTGTGTATATATTTTCTAGGGCAATCTAGGTTTTCCATTCTGTTCTGGTTTCGAGGGTTGTGGATGGCCATGAGAATGGTTCCAACTGACATAATTTCATTTGACTCAGTGTCAGTTCTCACTGATGTTTCAAGGATTGCCTGATATGCTTGTTTCATAATCATGCTTGCTTAAAATAGAACAGGTTGTTTTTATGGTGAACTTGTGTGATAATGTTGTGTATTAGGAGAGCCCAGAGAAAGCTGACTTTTCCCCAGAGATCTCCCTCAACAGATCATGCCACTATTTAGATTATATAGTTATAGTCTAATTCTGAAATATTACACCAATAATAATGCAATGGGAACTGTTGATGAGTTGGGAAGAGTGATAGCTCAGTGGTGGGCAAAAGGTCTTGGTCCATTTTTTGGCCGGGGTAGGAAAGTCAGTGAACGTAGGAACAAGCTACATGCCAGCTGTTTGTAAGAGGCAGTTTCCTATGAGTTTGTTTATTCATTTGGTTAATCCCTTGAGAAGATACTACTGGATTCCAATGCTTTTGCAGAGCGGTCTTCCTTTGTTCATATAAGCCTTCACAGATGTGGATACTTTTAAGCCATGAAAACAAAGCCCACCACCCTGTTTTGTGTATGCAATTTTGTATACTCATATGCACTGCCACATATTAGGTGTAGGGCTCTCCCTGCCCCAGTGAACTCATCAGTAAGCTAGCTTTGTTTTTTAGGGTTTTTATTACACTGTAGTTTGATCTACTTCTCCTCTTTTAATATTACATCTTGTGCTTTTTTGGGAATGTAGCCGACATTGGCTCTGAATATAGCCTAGAGGAGATAGATGAGAAAGAAGAAATGCACAATGATAGTGCAGACACTGCTCTCACAGCACAAGAGAGTTCTACCTCTCTCAGTGCTCCTGAAGTTCCACTAGATGGTCATCAAACTGAACCTGCACCATCAGCTTCTGAACCTGCCACTGATGTTGGAGAGAATGCTCAGAACTCAGATGAAGAAAATACAGAAAAGATGAGAGCAGATGCCAAGTAAGTGCATTAGACTTAGTACTCTGCATAGCTGGATGGTGACGGTGGTGGACTTCATTAACTTATGTATTTATTTAAAATACTTATATGCCGTCCTGTCGCAAAAAGCCTCAGGACGGCTTACAACATAAGCCGGCTTACAGCTATCCAACTGGTAGTGCAGGAATTGATGGAAGAGAAGCTACAGATCCAGCCTATGTTTGTGGCAGCGGGCCCAGCAACTGTTGTATCATATCTGTACCCTTAAATACCAGAATGGGTTGAGAATGGCTCTAAGTACAGAAGCAAAGTATATATAAAGTCTCATAGCAATGTTTATTTTTAAGTTCAGGTTTAACATTTTCTGGTTCCAGACTGTATTTATTTGCTGTTTTTATATGGGGTCCTTTTTAATGTACACAAAGCAGTTTATCATTTTAAAATCCTAAAATGCAAAAGTGTTAGGAAATCTGGAAAACAGGCAGAGAGGCAGTGCCTTCAGGACTTCACCTGGGGTTACCTTCTACCTTTTTAGGTCCAGCAAGTCTTAGGTAGCTCCAGGTAATGGCTGGTCCAAACAGTTCATTTAGTCTATTGATGTTCTCTTTAGGAGCTAAACAAAGACACTTAAGTGAGACTCCAGGGTGAAACTGCTGAATTATAATTCATCGAGATGTGTACTTCTGTCACCTGTGCCTAGAACTGAAACAAGAAGTTTCTGTCCAATTACAGGTGTTAATTAGCTTTCTAATGCCATAATGTTTGTGTTTCATTGACATTATTTTGTGTTCACAGTACTGATGTTTAAGCTTTTGCATAATTATTGGTCCGTATTTTTTGCATTTCACTTTCCTCTGACTTCACCACTTAATTTTTTTCTCTTATATACCTATACTACCAGCCAATTTAGCAGCTTATGTCATAACAAATTTATTAGTAAGAGCAGATGGGATGAGCTCAGTGGTGTTTCTCTCATCCTTTTATTGATAGAAGTCTACTATACTATGTTTTGCAGAGCTCAGCAAACTCAGATACTCAGAGAGAAAGTTACACTTGACAACGGCAAGCCACTTGGAGGATTGCAACTGAATGCAAACAATGGTGAGTTTTCTGTTTTTTAGATTAAATCGTAGTGTCACTCATGCAGTGTGTGTCTCTGTTCACAAGAAAATGCTTGCGCTGTTTCTGATGTCTTTAATTTTACAGTGTTGATTACTAATATAAGGCAATTTTCTACTAATGGTTCTAGGAAGTGACCTTATTGTTACTGATGGGTTTTTATGTTGTCCACAAGCTGTAAGAGCTAATGATTATGCTTCCTGTTTACAAAGACTTGTGCGCGAGATTGTAGATGTACTTTGGATGTTTAAAAAATGCTCATGATTATGTCTGCCAGTCACACTGCTATAGACTGTGCAAGTTAAGCACACCCTCACCCCAGAAAAATAGATCTCTGGAATATTATTTGAAATGAAAAGGAATGATTTGTGGTTCAGACCATTATTTGATTCTCGTTTCTAAATTATCTTTGCCTTAAAAAAAAGGTTGTAGTGATGCCACAGAAGAAAGAAAACTCGATGTGCTAGAAGGAAGAGAAACTAACAAGCTTGAAGCATTGAACTGCCAAGTCTATCAGAATCACACCTCTCTTAATCAGGAGCAGACCCCTCAAGTACTCCTGGCAGTGCATGATCAAAAACAGGAGTCCTCCACTGTTGAGACTGTAAAGACTCAAGATGCTGCAATTCAAACAATCCCTTCAGATAATAACTTATGCCAGACTGAGAGTGCTGATCCTCAAGGTTTCCAGCAGCTAACCCACAGAAGTTCGACTCAAACGCAGAAGGCACTTTTAAAGAATCCACCCTCAGGGTTCCTGAACAGGGTACATGAGGCAGTAGGAACTATGACAGAACCTGACCATCAGAGGCAACAATCAGCACATGGAAGAGCGAGTCCTAATGGCAACCAAAACCAACCATTTGCAAATGATAACCACAGTTTAACACAGAGAGTTGTCAAAAGTCCAGTTAGTTCTCCCACAAAAAGTTACCCACTTTATTGGCAAGAGTCAAAACCTAAACCAAAGCCTTCTAATGAGATTACAAGAGACTATATACCCAAAGTTGGAATGACTACTTACAAAATAGTACCTCCAAAGTCTCTGGAAGTAGTGAACAACTGGGAATTGGAGAATCAAGAAGCAACCTGTTTGCACATGTCTCCTAAGAATGAGCTTTCCCAAGAATTTGGCACACAAACTGAAAATCTTAACATCTCAAAAAGCCTGAAACAAACAGGACCTGGTTTTAGGCATGAAGTCATGTTGCCAGAGAATGATCCACTGGCTAAAACATACAGTGCTGATAATTCCATAGCCTCTTTCTCTGATGCCAGAACCAAGAAAACGGAAGTGGAACCTTCCAAACCTAAAATAATAGCTCCCTTAGCACTAAGCACAGAAAACAAAAGCACACCACCTGCAACACAAGCAAAGCCAGTTATCTTAAGTCCTACAGCAAAACCGAGCAATTTTTATTTACAGATGCAAAGGAGGGTTTCTGGGCATTACGTGACATCAGCAATTGCAAGAAGTGGTTCTCTCAGTAGCTCTACTCAGAGTGAAGCTAAGAGTGTAGAGCCAGAGAAAAAGGTGCCATCACCAGATCGAACCTCTTTTCCATTTCCTAGAACAGTTAATGTCCCTTCTCAGTTAATAGAAGAAAAGACTGAAAATGGCCTGGAAAAAGCAGAAGATGTAGCTCCTCCTGTAAAAACGCCTGTGTCTCCGAATTCTTCCCCATCCCAGCCTTCTCCATTTAATCCAAAAACTCTGAGGACTTTTGTTTTGCCGCAACCGTATTCAAGTTCCAGGCCCTCACCATTTGCTCTCGCTGTATCATCAGCAGTTAGAAGATCACAGTCGTTTAGCAAGACAGGTACCAACACATCCAGGCCCTTAAGGCAGCAAACCTCTCTTGACCTTTCCTCATCAGTGTCTAGCACTGAGATAAAGGATTTGTCTCCTTTGCAGAGCCCAACAGCACAGCCACAACAGAGCGTGACAGAGAAGGTAAACCAGCAGTACTATTGTTCGTTTCTTTAAAATGTCTGAGCCCCATGCTGCCCCCTTTTCTTGATAGGTTTGTCATGTATCCCAAACTATTTGCAAAATAAAATTGTGAATAGACTTTCTAGTGGCATAGCCGTGTAAGTCTGTGGCAGTAAAGACATAACATCAATATTTGCTATGGCCATTTGATATTTTAATCTGTTAATTCATTTTAATCCATTCAGATTAAAATACAGGAGCAAATCAAAAGAGCACAATAATGGAACAGCAATCACTAAACAGAATTTATATAGTTCTGCCAATATAGTCTCAGTTGTGTTTATTTTATTTTATTTATTGCATGTGCAAAGCAGTTAGAAAAAAGTTAGTCTCCTACTCAGGTATGAATGGGACCTTATCTAATAGAGATCCAAAACCAGACTTCTAGCTGGTCATCCTGGTAAACCAGCAAAAAGGATGATAAAGTACATGATGAAACTACAGTTACACTATAAAAGTATGTGCTTTAGAGTTTCTGGTACACTGCCATGCATGGACACAGTCCATGTTGAAATGAAATTCTTAAAAACATAGATGTTTGTTCAGATGTAAACATCCCTTACTTCAGTAATGGTTAGGTAGGTGGGCATAGGATTTCAGCCTTACAGTGCAATCACATAGATTCCTACTTGGAAGTAAGTCCCATTGAATTCAGTTATATATATTGCCCAGTAAGTGTGCATAGGACTGCAGCTTCAGTTTTGCTAATATGAATGTTCTATGGGCTTGTACATTCTTAAGAAATGTACTTGTATCAGATGGTCAAGTACTAGAATCACAGAGCTGGGGAGATATTTTTACTAGCTTGGCAATATGTAAGTAAAAACAACCAAGGCATCCCAAATTGTATGATAAAATGGGTTCTGATCCATAATTGTGACAATTTTTAAGTTAAATAAGCTTTTCTTGTTAGAAGTGGACAGTTGTTCACTTGTAGTGCCTATAGAATGATGGGCCAGAACAGAAACTACTTTTAATTATGTGTTTAGCAGCTACATTCAGTCTGGACCAGGGACTTTGATCTGGGTTGGATCTCCATCTTTTGAGAGCTGGATCGGAGGCACTGCGGCTATTCTAGAGTAAATCTGAAAAGAAGACGTGGCTGTTAGACACACATTTAAAGTCATGCCTGTTCTGTCCCTTGAAAGACAGAATGATTTCACTTGTGCTATGTTTTTGGTTTTGCATCCCACAGAAGAATAATGGCGGAATCCATGCGCAGAGCAAGCCAGCGCCTCCTTTATCCGGCCACCCAACAGCGGCTGCCTCAGAGAGAAGCCTGGCTGTGACACTCCAGCGCCCTGACCCAGAACAGATCCACCAGACCCTGCTGGCTGCAATCCGCTCTGGGGAAGCGGCTGCCAAATTGAGACGGGTACGATTCCCTGCCCGCTGCCACCACCTCCCATCGTTACATCAATTACAATGGATTTACAGTGCTTGTTTCAGAATCACCATAGCAATCTGCACTGGCTTCAATCACAATGAGACAGGGAAGGAGAGAGAATCTTGTGAGGGTGTGATTTTCCAAGAGTGCCAGTAGGAGATTTATGAGCTGAATGCAAACTGTGCTCACCTCGATTTAGCTGAATAAAACATCTCGTACAGCATCAGTGTTTAAACATACATTTGGCATGAAATGTATGGAGTAAGAAAACCTGTTACACATCCCTTCCTAAGCTGTTAGAAGTTGTAGAGAGCAAGCTCCTGTTTACCTTCTCCATTGTTTGAAAATTTCCTGTTGATTCTTAGCATCCCCATCTCAAATTTTGATCCCCCCCCACATCAGTTGGTAATTCATGTAACAGGAATGAGGCTGCCCTTGTGCCTGGTTTGAATCCACTCAGTGGGGAACCCGGATTATACCTATATTACACCTCTGCCAAAAGAACTGCACTGGCTGCTTATTAGCTGCTGAGCCATACTTAATGTTTCTTGATATACAAAGCCCTAAACAGCTTAGGACTAGGATAACTAACAGATCAACTTCCCCTTATATATAGCCGGCTGGCTTTCAGATTTTCAGGGGGCTTTGCTAGGGGTCCCATAACTAAAACAATATTGACATATAATATTTCAAGGGTGGGCCTTCTTGGAACAGTGCACAGACTTTGGACACCCTCTTCCAGTGCAATTCAGGCATAGAAAATATTGTGCATTTTAACCTCTCCTGAAAGCATACTTATTCATCCAGCCTTCCTCTGGTTTGTATTTCATTGTAATTTATGTGCAATTCATATGCTACTCATATGCTATGATATAGTTGAAATTGCTTTAATAGTGTATTTAAATGTATTGTTCAATATTTAAATGTAGAGTTTTTCCAATATTAAGTGGTACATAATTATTAGATAGGAGAGAGAGAGTCATGGTAACAAGGACTATTTTAGAGTTCTCCCAGTCAAACTGTGTGTGTCTGTATATACAGATATCTGTCTCCTTCTGTTCTTTCTTTCTGTGCAATGCAAACATGAAGCAACAGCCATGGTCTGGTCTCTTTGTCCTGTCTCCATGACGCCTTCCATACCTTTCTGTATGGTCAGCATAATATTCCCCTGTTCTATTTACCCAGGCCTCTTCCTCTTGCCCCCAACACCCCCTTCAGCTTCTTTCCCTGTGCCAACTAAAGCCTTTCATAAACCATTCTGGATTCACACCTACCCTCCCCAGCCCTCCCATATCCTTTGCCCACAGCTGATGGTTCAGCCCCTTGTTTTCTTTCTCAGTTTTGTCAGGCCTATTTCTGACTCGGTGTATTTTCTAAGACTTGGATGGTAAGGCAGGAAGATTCTAGGGCTCTGTCCCAGCTAGGCGTTGCGAGCCGGACTTCCTCCTTCTCAGCAGTCACCAGCCACAAGCCTTTTCTTGACAAAATTCTCTTCATTGTTTCTACATATAAATCATCCAGCTATATCTCTGAGCATACACAAAATAGTCAGCTGATACCATTCTAGGGATCACTTCCCGAAACCCCTTTTGTGTGTGTGCTTGTGGTCCAATGCTCGGGGAGGGGCACTGTGAAAGCACGCACGCCTCTGTTCTGCATGCTTCACATCCAGCTGTGCGTCTCGCTTCTGAGCTGCCAGCCACGGGAATCAGCTCTGGAGGGAGCAGGTGGTCTCCATTAGAGGACACTCCACCCTCTGGCTGTATCCCCTTCTGTGGCCTGGCAGCAGCTCCCCCATGTCCTGCCTAACTCTGCGCTCATCCATTTCCATGCCCTCCTGTTGGCTCCCAAGATGCTGGGGGCCCCCTGCTCACCAGTCCCACTAAATACTCATCCTGTGAATCGTCATCTGAGTCTCCCGAAGTGGCACAAGTCGTGTCCTGTGAGAGCGCTTGCCCAAGCCCTGCGTCGTCATGCTTGCTCACAACACTGGGCAGGCTCCAGAAATCTGAGTCAGTATCCTAAAGCTCCATGGTGCTGTTCCAAATGCCATTTGGAAGAGAGAAGTCGCCATATTTTGGTTGAGTCTTATGCAAAAGTGAACATTTTGTAGGAGTTCTGCATGCTGCTGAGGAGGAGGGGTGGACATCGTCAGGAAAGCATGAGTCTCTTTTCTGTGTGTGCAGCTTTGCCAAAGGAGCACCTGTTACCTAAGCAAATTGTATAAAACCCAAAGCATTTAAATGCTTTTTATGCTAAACTGGGACATTAATCAGCTCAGGGCTGTGCAAGAAGACAAAACAAATAAGGGGCTGTTTGTTTAAGGGCGAATGGCACAATTTCCCCCTCCTGGGCTGGACAGTGGCTTATGGGGACTATATAAAAGGACATTTCCTAAGCTTACGCCCATTAGGCTGGGCAGCTTCGAGTTTTGTCAGACAAGCTTCGGATTGTGCAGCTTCCTTACAGCTATGACTTGGAGGTTGCACTTACTTGAGTTCCTGTAGGCTAGCTCAGGACTTGCACCGTTCCCTTGAGCTGAGAAAAACCTGCCATGCATTTTCATACATGCTTCCTTCTAAAATCCAGGGTCACCCACAAAATGCACAGGGAACCTGGTAAAATGGAAATGCTTTTTAAAAAAGATTAAAATGAGAATGCGACAACTAAAGGAGTATTGACATGCGCAGATCCATGTTATTTTATGTGAAAGGTGTTTCAAGTTTTATACAGAATGTACATCAGTTCTATTCAATTTAGGAAAGCAGGTTTTTTTAAAAATGTAGATGATAATGACTGCACTTATTCACTTTCTAACAATATGAGAAAGTGAAGCTGGAGTGAACAAAAGTGTGGCATCAAATTTATTTTTAAGCCTCTTGTGAAGATGAAGTCAGATAGTGTCTATAAAATGTTGCTTTAATTTTTAAAATAAGGAAGATTACATGGGGGTGAATTAAACACTAATGCCAGCAGACCAGAAGTTTACCAGATTCATTTATGTGTGAAGAGCAAGGAAAAGGACATTTAACTTCTATTTAAATGGTAAAGTTGGGCTAATGCTGCATTGTGCTATTAACTTAGGTAAAAGGTCAGTCAGGTGCTCTCAGCACCCACCAAGCATTCAAGGAACAAGGCAAAAATTGCTGCTACAGTCAGCCAAGCATTTTTTCTTTAATAACTTGTTAGGGTACAGAGCCAAACTCTGTGGCCTTTTGTGCTGCAGTTTTATTCTTGTTGAATAAAGCCCGCAGTAATTGCTAACCAAATGGGTCAGATGAGGTTGGGGTTTGAAACTATTTCTTTCTCCACAATATTTCAGTCATATGACTAATCTTTTTCAGTTAGTTTTCCTGGGATCTCGTGGTAAGACATACATAGGCCTGGTGTATTGTCTACAGACTTCTGGCTTGTAGGATCTTTTTTTCTGCTAGAACCTGGAGGCTTCCTATGGTGAGGCAGGTATAAAACTGTGGTTTTGGGGTGGGACAAAGCCAAAGGGAAAATAGTTGCTTAATGGGCAGAGCCACATTATCTTCTACCTCTTCTCCCACCCCATAGGCCATTCTCCTGTATTTGCAGACATGAAACATACTGCTGAGATACTGCAGAAGGGAAATTCGACTTTAGCAAAGGAAGTGGTGGTGGGGTTTTGCCATTGATAAACAATTTGGAATCGGAAGCCCTGCAAGGCACTTGGTGATTTGCCTGGTTGACCCTGATCTTTCTTCTGCCCAAGCTCAGTCTTGAGGAGAGGAATCATCACTGTGCACACAGAACCAGTGAACAGACCAGAGAGGCATCTTTTCCTGAGCAACTGTCATGCCCATTTCAGAAACATGCACCTGCCCTGTGGGGAGTCTGCTTAGATGGCCGTGCTCTTTCCTAGGCAGAGTGAGATGTTTACCTGAGGAAGTTGATTTGAGGTGTCATAAAGGGGCAGCAATTATTTAATGTGTCATTAGTGTGTGCTTGCTGCCTGGAATGGGGAGAGGATCTTGTGGAAGCGTCCATCTCAAAATTACACAATCAGCCTTCAGTGTTAGGCACCTGGACTTGGGTAGCATGAGAAATTTGCTGCCTTGCCTCAGGCAACAAAATGGCCTGGGCTCGCCACTTGGACAGCTTTCCAGTCCTGTTAATGGGTGGCTTTTACTTAGTGATGTTGAAGATGCTGCGCTTTAACAAACAAGCAAGAGGTGTCTTTTGGGACATTAATCAACAATGTGTTAATTTAGAATGACATAAGCAGACCAATTTTGTTATGTTTATTTTGTTATTTACTGTATTTCTACTGCACCATTTTTCCTCTAGAGGAAAGTAGCTTACATAAGCCTGCCCACTTCCATTTTACCCTTACAACAACAACCCTGTGAAGTAGGTTAGTCTGAGAGTGAGTGACTAGCCAAAAGACACTTGGTGAGCTTCCTGGCTGAGTGGGGACTGAACTCTGGATCTCCCAAGTCCCAGTTTGACACTCTACACAGCATGCCACACTGGCTCTTCAATGAATGCTTAAAATGAAATGTGCAAGTCAATTGCACATTTAGGTTTAAGGAACAAGATTTTAAATGCCCATGAACACTGTTACAGGATGGACTTCTTTTGTCTTGCATATGTTTTAAAGCAACTCCTATCACCTCCCACCATTGGCTATACTGGCTTGGGCTGATGGCAGACCACCAACATCCGTGAGGGGTTCCCTCCCCATTCTTCCTTTTACCTTCCCCCACAAGAAGGCAACAGGCCTATCTGTGCTCCCACGTGATGCCTCTGTTGTTCAGCACTTTGACAGCAGGCCCATCTTCAGTGGTAGTCCACTTTGCAAGGTCTTTGAGAAGGCCTAGCGCTCATGTTGCTGTGGAAGTATGGCAGCTACCAACTCACTCCTGCCCTGTGTTTTTGTGACACGTCATCCTGCTAATCTGTGGATGCTATATGGGTACCAGTGAGTCTGTGCTGCTTGTCACACTTACATAGTGCAGTGCATCTCATATTAACTGAGGCAATGCAGACTGAACCACAAGGAAGTCTTTCTTTTCTGACCTTTTTTCAGAAAAAGAAAACAATAACTTTTTGTGGAACAAGAATGCTACTCAATTTGGGACATTCCATGTTTCCTTAGCCGCAGGAGGATTGAGCATAAGGCAATAAAAGAACTGTGGATATGTGCAGATGATAATTTTCCAGCAGTTTGCTTTTAGGTCAATATAAGCCATCTCAAACATTTCTGGAAAGATAGGGCAACTCTAGACCTGCTTGCTTGCTTGCATTTTATCTCACCCTTTATCAAGAGATCAGGAATACATATTTCTTCCCTTCTTTTGTTTAACTTCACAACAAACCTGTGAGGTAGATTAAGTTGAGAAAGTCTAGCTCAAGGCCTCCCACTGGGTTTCATGGCTGGGTTGGGATTTCAATGCACGTTGAACTCAAGTACACGTTTAATGAATGCGCTTATGACAGCTACCTAACATTTCATGATTTTTCAGTAGAAGATGTTGATCAATGATAGTGTTGTGCATTTGAATTACTCCTATGCAGCTTTCAATGGGAGCTAGGTTGGTTCTCTTCTGTCACTCTGAATATATTATTTTCTCTTTCAGGTGGGGCCTCCATCAAATACGGTTGCCATAAATGGAAGAGCTAGTCTTGGTTCCTCGGCGTCTCTTGAAGCAAGACACAGTAATCATTAGGATTCCATACCAAATATTTTGCACTTTAATCACTGCTGCATAGACCTGCTGCATCAATTTACTTCACAGTTAACTGCATATTATTGAAGACTACACATAATGCAGGGTTATATTGGTGTATAGTTTCAGTTGAAGCATGGAAACTTCATGGGATGCCTCAAAGAATTCTTAGACTGTATAATTTATAGGATTTTCAGCCCTTTCTCTTTAGAGCTGAAAATGCTGCTTCAAGGCTCAGAAGAATTTTGGTTTTTTGCTGTTGTGATAATCAGATATGTTGATTTCCACTTAACCCATAATAAATTATATGTAACAACATGCTGTACAGTGCTAATGTATGACAGTCTTAATGTGTATAACTGCCTCATAATTATATTTAGATGTATATGAGTTTTAAATATAGTTCTTTCACCTGTTGCCTTGATTTTTACCTAGGAAATTAATTATTGCACTTGGTAAGATCATTTTCTAGAATTGGAATTGGTTATCTTTTCTTCAACTAAAAAATTGTGTAAGTTTCTTCCAACCAAACTTACACACTTCTTAAAGGACATTGGCTGCTTAGATTTCTCATTGAAATCAGCAGGACTTAAAGGTGCTTAACTTTTGATGAGTCACACCTGTTTGGAATTAGCATAAGCTGTCGCATACTTTCTAGCACCAGAGTGCAGAAATAAAACAGGAAGACTCTGGTGACTAGTTTCCTAACCCAACATGTGTGTTTTCTTGTATGCAACATTTGCTTTAAAGGCATGGTACAGCAAGGTGCCTTACTGCTGTAACGTTACAACACCAGAACTGCTGAGCTCATGGCTGTTTGCCAGCAGCCCAAACTATGCAGAAAAATCTGAGTAGCAGATTACAACTGCACTGCTGAGGGCAGATTCACACAACCTGCAGTACCGCTCTAGACAACAGGTGTATGGATCACTGCTTGTTACATTACCTAGACTCTGCATGGGTTTTGTATCCTGTGCTAAATTCCAGTAATATGCCAGCTACCATCCTGCCACAAGTTTGACAGCTGAACAGAAATGAGAGAGGAAGGATGTGTTGGCGAGGGGAGAGACAAGGAGGTATATTGGATCACCATCACAAGCATCCGGGAATCTCTGCTAGCTGACAAGTGGCATTTAAGAGTTAAGGCAGCTCTGGGCTGCACCAAAGACTCCAGAATCTAATTTGGAAGCTGACATAAATTCACGTGCAAGGAAGTGGGCTGTTGATTAGCTACCATTTGAGGCACCCTCAAGGGAGAGCAGCTTTGGCATGGAGCAGCCAAATTTCACTCAGTTAGGCTGAGAATAAGGAATTAAGAACATCTGAATGCAGAATTCTGTGCAAAGGGCTTTCTCCTTTAGTATTCATAAAGGCAATGCCTTATTTTATTGTCAGTTGATTTTAAAGCATTTCTTTGAAATCCAGGAAATTAAAGGCAGAACCTCATTTTCTGGAAGTAGGTAATGTGATAATTATTTCTACACTGCACAATCTGTTTTAAGGACACTTTACACAATACAGTGTCAATGAAGTAGTTTTATCCATGTATAGAATTCTCTTGCTGTAAAATTTAATAATTGCTACTGAGATAGATATGTAAGGTAGAGCAATGATTCACAGACAGCAAAATCTTTGGAACAGACCAGGTATCTCTTTGTTCATATTTTTCTGTAATCCCTGTGAAATTAACATTGCATTTGTATGACCAAATCTATTTGCAATCAAACAACGGAATTGTGCATATAGACTACAAATCCTGGGATATTTACAATGTTCTAAAATGATTCATGGTTTTGTTAAATAAAAATAATTGTATTTAGTTTTATTTGGAAATAGTTATTGCACTCATGCTATTGAAACATCTCTGTCAATTTTTTAAATCAAAGTCAAGTAACTTATTTTTTGTAAGGTGTGGGTTACTTTTTAACACCGTTATTCTCCAGATATTGTGCACAGTGATTTCCATCTGGATAGACTGACCAATCTCAGGAGTCGAGAATACAGGATTAACTCAGTAATGAGATGATAGATGCTGAAGTATCTCATTGAAAAAGATCTCTCTTTGCCTGGAGAGTTATTGACTGTCCAAGCAGGCCATACTATTCTGACAGCCTCATTTGGTATAAAGGAGTTTTCTATGGTCAGGTGCTTCAGTTGTGGTTTCTTGTATGCTTTTTTAAAAATGAAAAGTGTGTGGGAGGTGAAGCATTGCATTCTTAGCATGAGTTATATTCCTGCCCTTACTTACAAAGCTTAGCTCTATTTTATTGATTGATTGATTGATTGATTGATTTAAAACATTTCTATGCCGCCCCCATTGCAACAAAGCCTCGGGGCAGCTCACAACAAAAACAAAAACATACAAAATTATACAAAAAGTTGTACACTAAAAATATTAATACACTAAAAATTAATTACACCATGCAGCCTATGCATATTTACAGAAGTAAATGGCACTGAGTTAAGTGGGGCTTGCTAACGTGCATGTGTGTGTGCACAATATAGAGCAGAAATGGGCAACTTGTGGTCCTCCAGATATCATTGGACTACAGCTTTTATCAGCCCTAGCCAGTATGGCCAATGCTGAAGGATGATGGGACTTGCAGTCTGACTCAGCTGGAGATCTGCCTGTTTCCCATTCCTGAGGTATGGAGTAACACTGAGGCAATCTTTCCATGTAAGTGTCCACAGAAGGGCAGTCGCGCTCATGTTGATGTACACGTTGACTATAAATCTCAGGTTTTGGACAAATAGTGGCACTGTGCCAAAGTGCTCCTGACATGATTATAGTCCAGTTTCCATGGATGGAGATACTCAGTTGCTTGACCTTTTTGTAGCATGATTCCTGTGGTGGTAATGTTTGAGTAGAGAGAGAACATCAGATGCTGTGCAGTCACTCACCTCGCTGCTGCTTCATTGCTTCCTTTTGCATGAGTGCTAATGTGCACTAGTACATGGAAAACAATGGTCTTGTTACTGCATAATGCAGATGGAAAAGACTTATTTTTCTGAACACGTATGTCCAAACTATATCATGTGTTCTTCATCTGGGGATACTAGCAACACAAGAAAAGAGTTAGCTAGGTGAATACTCAGGTTTGACAACAATTCTTCTTGGGCGAGTTTGTGGGTAGTAACAGCTGCTACCATTGAATGACCAATGGTGCATCCATGCCCTTTCTAATGTATCTTTTATGAGTGAAAACATATATAAACCTGCCTTGGGCTGAGTTAGACCATTGGTCCATCTAGCCCAATTTTGCCTATATTGATAGGTTATAATTCTCCTGGGTCTCAAATGGGAATCTTTCCCAGAACTTGCTATTTTAGTTTCCTTAATGTGCTTGGAGGTGCATGTCAGAAATGAATTTGTGGTTATCTTGTCATAGTTTATTAGTAATAGAATGATCAATGGTAGGCCAATGCCAACTTGGGACTCTTTCAGCTCATTATGCATCTTACTACTGAGCAATGGTGTCCCCGGGTTTTGTTGAAAATGGCACAAGGTTAGCACCTTGCAGGCATCTTGTTATTGGTAGTCACAAAGTCATGTCCAACCCATCGTGACCCCATGGACAACATTCCCTCCAGGTCTTCCTGTCCACCATTCCCCAGAGTCCACTTAAGCTCACACCGACTGCCCCAGTGACTCCATCAAGCCACCTCATTCTCTGCCGTCCCCTTCTTCTTTTGCCATCTATTGTTCCCAGCATGAGGCTCTTCTCCAGGGAGTCCTTTCTTCTCATTAGGTGGCCAAAGTATTTGAGTTTCATCTTCACTATCTGGCCTTCTAAAGAGCACTCAGGGTTGATCTCCTCTAGGACTGACCGGTTTGATTGCAGTCCAAGGGACTTGCAGGAGTCTCCTCCAGCACCACAATTCAAAGGCCTCAATTCTTCAGAGCTCAGCCTTCCTTATGGTCCAACTTTCACAGCCATACATTGCAACTAAGAAAACCACAGCCTTGACTATACGCACTTTCATTGGCAGGCATCTAGAATCATAGAATAGTAGAGCTGGAAGGTGCCAGAGGGCCATTGGGTCCAACCCTCTGCTCGGTGCAGGACTCCAAGTTAAGCCATCCCTCTCAGATGGCTGCCCATTTGCATCTTGCATGTTTCCAGTGTGGGAGAGCCCCAACCTCCCTAGATCTTTGGTTCCATTATTGTACTGCTCTAACAGCCAGGAAATTTTTCCTGCTCTCCAGCCAGAATCTGATTTCCTGTAACTTCCTTTTGACTGACCTGCAGTGTGCCACACACATGCAATCTGTGCCTAGGGCCATGAATTCTTGAACTCTCTACCACAAAGAGGGTTCCACGTGGTGTCAGAAGTTCCCAACAACATAAAACTGCAAACCTCCATGACTTCAGTCCAGGAGTGGATGGACCTAAACAGCGACAAAATCCTACTGTCACTCACCACACTCAAAGTTCTTGCATACAGACCTTGTGCTCAGCTGACTATCCATGATGGGGTATCTGGCATATCATCTGTGGTTAATATTCTGCTGCAGGAATGAGCAGAAACTAGATCTCCACATGCTTTGGACTTGAGCTCACGGCATTCCTAACCATCGGCAGGAGTTCCTGTGATTTGAAGATCAAACTGCTGGAGATCAACTTCATATGTAGCCCTTCCAATTATGAATAGTCAGCTGGGACAAATTAAGGCAATATTGACATGTCTATCAGGTATGGATGAAATCTAGGACCAAATACATGGAAGAGAAATGTATATTAAGAAAACGGGCTATTAACAAGCTATTCTTGTTTCTTTCCATTTGTACTAAGCCATTGTAGCTTCTTTTCATCCTATCATTCTCATGAAGAACTTGGGATATTTTTACTAAAGGAACAAAAATACTTCAGAATTTCAAAATCTGCTCAGTGTTCATGATTAATAGCATCAGGTTGCCTGATTCCGGGTTTATATGCCATTTTGCGATGGTTCACAGATGAACATCCATATAAAGCTATTCTTAATTCAGAGCAAGCAACAAGTAAACAATACTTCTAGTTAACTCTCAGGGAAGGGATAAAAAATCGTTTGCATATGACCCTGGAAAGACGTGTGTGGAAATGAACCTCTTGGATCAGTGTATTCAGTGCTCCAAAGCAACCAAAAAAGCCCCTGTGTTCAACCTCAGATCTAGGAAAGCATCTGCAGGAAAGCCTTGCCGGCTGTCCCTGAAAACCCAGGCAATTTCCTTTGGAAGACCGCAGTGATGTCTGAGGCTGCCATGTGGGCACCGAATATCAAAACCCACCATAAATATCCAGTTGTACTGTTCAACCATGGTTGTGTAATTAGCTGAGAACAGCACATTAAAAATGCTCTCAGTTGTCTGAGCTAAAATACAGAAATAGTACAGGATTTTGCCTCTGCATTTTGACACAATTAGGGAAAGAGGCACAGCAGGGAGAAGTCTTGTGTTTCCTAAGATCTAAATTTGGATTTCCTGTACATGGTTGAATTTGAATCTCACTTTGAATGTGATGCTAAACAATGAGGACACTCTCAAAGGATGCTGAATCACTGTAAAGTGTGAACTGCTCCAGATGGACTACAGTTTCTAATTGCAGTTCTCCTTGCTGCTTTTATCCATTAATGGGTTGTTGCTTGACCATGGGTCTGGGAATGTTGCCACTGCAAACGGAGGCGAGAAATTCCCTATGAAGTCCCAGAATATATGCCGGAAATATTTGCCTCAAGTGTCATGGCTATCTGATTGTGATGATGGAACATCTCATAAAGGCAGACCAGGTTGCAAAATTCTGTGCTATTATAGTTTAAAGCTGTTCACAAATGGCCATCCAGGATAGAGAGAGTCTCATTGCCCAGAGCCTGAAAGGGACTGTGCATCATGCAGGGGCTCTCTCTACTCTCACTTTGCATACGGTCCATCAGACCAATTCTGTCTATTACAGCCTCCCCACCGCGCTGCCATCCGCCAGCTGTTTGAGACTTCAGCCCCAGCCAGCATGGTCCTGTTTCACTTAATGTGATTTAGTGTCAGGTAAGCATGTATACGATTGCTGCCTTATTTTCATATGTGTACTGCACTCTTGCAAATAAATCCACAAAACAGATTCTCCATTAAAATGCTTGCTTCAACCTAGTGCTTGCACCTATCCAAACCAATCATTTGTGGCACAGCTACTGATGCGGCAGGGGGAATACAGCTGTGCTCAAACAGAGACGTGATCCTCCTTGTTGGTGATTTTTGAATTCACCCCTGGAGACCAGGCAAATGGATAGATCTATAAAACCATTTGAAGCCACTGAGTCAGGTCATCGGTCCATCTCTTCAGAATCTCTGGGATAGCTTCTGTGCATCAGTTCTTTCCTATCCATCATTTCTTGCTGGCAACAGCAGGAACTGAATTGGGACCTTCTGCATGCAAACCATGTGTTCTACCTCTAAGAGCCAGGGACGCTCAAGCTTGCTAAATTTCTCAGAATTTCACTTTAAGGTTCAATCTGGCTCCTTAATGATCTGCTTTAAGATTTGAACAGGAATGCTGAATCTTTGTATGTATATTTTTCAAGATGCATACACATTTCCCCCACTGACTAAAGCAAGCAAATGTATAACATCTGAAATATTCACATTTTTAAAATGCACATTTTCCAAGTGTGAATGGAATTTCAGGAATGTGCAAACATGTTTTTTAAGTGCTTCTGTTCATATCCAGGGCTGACAGAAGCAAATCTGGATGATCTGCAACGGAGACGAAGTTCTCATACATTTCTGTGTGCTAACCCTGTCCCAGACCTGTGTTGCCTTCTGCTTCACAAAACCATGCTTCCTACATTCTTTTC